ATTTTGTTTGTACCCACTATCAACACTCATGAAAGCAGCAGTCAAGAAATCAAACCACATATTGCATTGGGAAAATCTGCTGCACAAGACCTCTTTAAAGGGTTGAAGAGCAAAGGGGTCTGTTTAAGGACTAAGGTGGCTCCTGACTCAAGCCAAGGTATTTTGAGTAGTCTCACATGCACATGAAAGTTGGACAATGAATAAGGAAGATCCTAGAAGAACTGATCATTTGAATCATGGTGTAGAAGAATATTAAAAGTACCATGTACTGCTAAACAAACAAATCTATGTTGGAAGAAGTACAGCCAGAAGCCAAAATGCCAAGACTTCGTCTCACATTCTTCAGACATATTTCCGGGAGGCACCAATCCCTGGAGGACAGCATGTTTTGTAAGTTGGGGTCAGTGGAAAAGAGGCAGACCTCCACCTAGATGGACTGGCTCCCTGGCAGCAGCAATATGCTCACGCTGAACCACAATTCTGAGGAGAGTGCAGGACCAGACAGCGTTTCATTTTGTTGTATGTAAGGTTACTATGGCACCTAGTAACAGCACTCCTGGCCAATCCTACAATAAAGCTTTTATACAATACTCAATTGTCATATTTAAAGATGCCTACACAAACTGTCTTTAAAGTTTTCCGTTTCAAAATACTAACAAGAAGTTCATTATTATTCTACTTTTAAATTAACCCAATTTAGAGAAAGCTTTCGGGATCTTCATTTGCTGAAGGGGAACAACTCAAAATGAGGGAAAACAGCTACAAACTTCCATCAATAGAATATGGAATGCACAAAATATGAATCTAGAAAAATAGGAAGTTGTCAAAAATGAAATAGAAGGCATACACATGGATACTCTAGGTGAGCAGAGATGGACTGATACCGGCCGTTTTGAATCTGATGATAACATGGTTGACTATGCCGGGAATGACAAATTGAAGAGGAATGGCAAAATCTATCGTTGTTTTATACCTATTACAAAGGCACAAAGAGTTCTGGTGTGTTGCTGTGGGTTCGTGCACTGGATTGCAGTTGGTTTGAAGTGCAGTGTCAGCGTTTCAAGCTCACTGGCTACTACTCGGAAATCCTACATAGGGTCACTATGGGCTGGAACTGACTTGACTGCACTTCACAGCAACAGGGTAAACATTTAAAGAGCAAATTGTTTTCCCGTTTAACAATTTATACATGTTTTCATTTCTGACAATTGTAATCCCATTGACAAAGCAGCATTCTTCCCACTTCCTCCCTGGGTCCCGTTTTCCTTTGCACACCTTTCCTGTCCCTTCCTACCTTTGGCACCTGTTTTGGGGCAAATGCCCTTTTGGTTTAATCTGGTTGATGTTTATGAGGCACAAGTTCTTCCTCGTGTCACTGTTCATTTTATAGGACTGGCTGTTGTTTTGCTCAGAAATTATTTCTGGGAATGGGTCCAATTCCAGGTTTCAAAGGTGTCTGAAGGCTGTAGTTCTGGGGATTCCACCTGTCTCTATCAGACCAGTAAGTATGATCTTTATTGCAATTTTGAATTCAGGTCTCTGTTTCCTTCCCACTGTCAGGGCCTTCTAGTGTGATCCCAATCCGAATGGTAGGTAGTGGTATCTGGGCACTATGTGGTTTTTCTGGTCTCAGGCTACTGGAGGTCAAAATTCATGTGAGCCATTAGTCCTTTAGTCTGTTTCCAAGCTTTTAAGACCCCACTGAGCACTGAAATGGGATATAGAATACTGTTTGCAATCCTAAATTGATGGACCTAGATATTCTGATACTATGGCCCCAAACCCACAAGCCCAGTGACTCAGTCCCTCAGTGTTTATTAATAAGTTTGCATAGTTTTGTTCCCATATGTTTTATGGGTATATTTGCAGTACATACAATTGTGTACGTAGAAATATTCCCTGCCAAACCTATATATGCACCTGGATGTACTGCTATATACCATCCCATACCTGTTCACCTTTCCTGTGTCCACTAGTGAATTATTGGTATTACAAGTTTATATTTACTGCCATGGCCTTAATCCTTGGGAACCTTAGTGTCTTCCTATGCTTTAGTCATGGTATGCTGAACCTCCCCTTAAACTGTGTAATCCTCTTCCCTTCACCAAGTTAATACATGTTTACTATCTAATGATTTTTCCTCTCTATCCCACCCATCCCTGACAATCGTTTCTTGTTTATAAATCTTGACTTTTTACAATAGTGATTTCATACTGTTATTTGCCCTTTTGTGACAGACTTCCTTCACTCAGCATGTCCTCCTGCAGGTTTTGCAGATCCATGGCTCTTTAATGCTGCCCAGTGCTCCACTGTATGTACGCACTGTAGTTCGCACCTCCATCCTTTGTTGGACACTTCCAAATGAGAAGCTCTATAAAGATCTGTATCATGCTATTTATCTCATCTTGTTGTTTTCGAGTTGGTTCCGATTCAGTTAACCTGTACAGGGTTTTTGAGGGACAGCTGGTGGTTTCGAACCGCTTATCTTGTCTAGTGCATTATCCTGCAGTGCCACACCAGGACTCATCTAGCTCATAAATAAATGTATATCCGGTTTAGTCTGGCAATAAACAGCATGTGTGGCAGAACATTTACTTTTATCATTAATTTGATTTCAATATCCAGATCTTTCCAACTCAAGGCCTCTGAGTTGGTTTGAATTCCTCTTGTCCTACTTCAGTAATCACTCCCTTGCTTATATGAAAGGGGGGCTGTCGAAAAGTGTGCAGGGAAAAATGGAATGAAAATAGAACTTTTCTACAATGTTCTCTAAGACCTCTTTTACTTGTCAGTACTAAAAACTGTAACTCCTCTGAAATTTGAGTCTTAAGCAAGTCTCTACTTTCACATTTCCAGGTCTTGCCTTCTAGTATCGACTTGACAGCACTTAACAACAGCAAAGTACTTATTGTTGTTGTTAAGTGTTGTCGAGTCGGTTCTGACTCATAGCTAACCACCATAGGGTTTCCAAGGAGTGGCTCGTGAGCTTAACCACTGACCTTGTGGTTCAAGCTGGCTTTGCAGTCCACAGCGCATTGACCCACAGCGCTATAACAGGACTTCCTCTAGATGGCCTAAGTGATCATTGTCTTTCAATAGAGATCCTAATAGCCTCCTAACTGGCTTCAATTCTTCCTTTGCCTCTACATTTCAGCCTATTTTGAAGCAGCAAATATAGTTCCTATTAAAACTACATCGCTGAGCTTTAGGATATGTTGGTTTCCATTCTTCTTCAACTTTAATAGAAACTATATTCGTATACCATCAAAGCAGGTATACTGTGCACCATTATTTCAGATTCTTTTCTGAATAACTGTGACAAATGTTCCCTTTCACATGCCAACACTTTAGAAACAATTGCATACATTTTCAGGAACACATCCTAGGCTCTAAAACAGAGCCACAGTAACTGACCTTGGCAGGTTACAGAATGCACACCTGTGACAGAAAAACTGATACAACCAAGCTCATCAATGACAGCTCTAGCTCCTACTCAGTTCAGAATCTTCACAAGACTTTGGAATATATCTTTACAAACAGAACAGATATGAACGTTACAAGTTCATTTTCATGATCATTTCTTTATGAATCCCAATATGGTAAAACTTACTGCATTCTCACAGCTTTCAGTGCCCAACAGTGATTTTAAAAAGACATTAAACAACATACTTTCATTGAAAGAAGTTTTAAAAATCTATATAATTCAAGCTAAAGAAATATTTTATTGTACATACTAAAAATGGTGTCTAAAAACAAACCAACAAAAAACATTTGCAGGACCAAGCATCTGCAGGAGTGTGTGAGGAAAGGGTTCCATTCAAGTCCCACACTACTGAATGAAGCCAGATATCCACCCCACTCCCTACTGTTAAGTACTACAACGGTGCATCCCAGGCGTGAAATTCCTGTGACATCAGTCACTGTATTCTCTCTCTTTTTATTCAATAGAACAAACATGCTTATTATGCATAGGAGGATGGAAAATGGAGATTGCTATTGCACACCATAGGTACTCCCAGGGCGTTGTATTTACAACCAGCTAAGTATCACAATATCTAAAGAAAACCTTTTAGGATAGTATATGACTCACTGGAGAGGGATTTTTCTACTCAAAGAAATAAGAAAATTTTCATTTTAATGTCACATTGAATTTCAGTACTTTTCAGTCCAAGAAAAAATGAAAACAACAAAAAACTGAGACATGGTCATGAGTTCAGGATTATATATATTACAATTTGCCTTGTTATATAATACATTTGTGGCTTTATGATAAAAATAACTCAGGGACATAAGAAATTCAAGCTAATTTGCATAACTGTCACAAAGGAAAAAAAGCATTAAATGCATTTCTGAAATAATTATTTTCATTTAATTTCAGAATTTCAAAACAGCATTAGACCTTGGCCTTGTTTTAAAAAAGTTTAGTTGAACACACTAAGCTAGCTAAATAACCCTCTTGTAAGGTTTAAACATAATTGTTATAGAAAATGCTTTCCCTCTAATCTCAGTCTTACATACACAGGAGAGGTGAGGGGAAAAGGTAGACAATTTCTTTAGCAGCATATATGGCTAAATCCATCAACCACCTTAAACTAGAATGTCATTATTGACCCCATTAAAAAGAATTGGGCAAATATCAAAAGTTACCCATTTCATAAGCCAAAAGATAACAATTTTAGGGTTACAGTAAATATTTTTGAAATACTTCAAAATCTTTTATCCAGAAACTACAGAAATCATCTCTTCATTTGAAGAAAGGTCTAATAGAAAGTAAAAGACATTTCAACTAAACTGGTTTTCAATCCTCTTTGAACAAAAGAAATGAAAAACAATGGTTGATTAGCTAAGCTTTGTGCTCTAACCAAACTAATTAATTACAGTGATTTAATGGCAACAGCCCATCTGACTGGGCAGCTTGACAGTTCTCAATACTTTTGCAATAATTTTTTTTTTTCATAAACGCAAGGACACTAAAATGATCCAGTCATGCAATGTTCATCTTAGGCATTCTGCATCTCTTTGCCAATCTTGTAGCTAAGGATCTTGTTCCAATCAATCTTAGTGCGTGTAACTGGCAACTGTCGACGTAAGGCTTTGAAAGTAGTGTCCGACATTGTCTGATAATTCTCACTGATGGCAGTCTATGAAAACGAAAAGTTAGAAGTTTAAAAGCAAATGAAAGGGACAATTTATAAAATACCTAGATGTTTTTAGAAAATTTTAATTTAAGCAGTATGTCTCACTGTTTTTATTTACTTTTTATATTTTATTTTGTTGCTACTGAGAATATACATAGTAAATATACTCTAATTCAACATTAATACATGTACAATCCAATGATACTGATGACTCCTCCAGTTTGCAACCACTCTCACTCTCCCTTTCCTCCCAGATCCTTCCCCATTAACATAAGCCCACTTCCCTGCACTCTGGGGTTCCTATCTAATCTCTCAAATTTTTTAAATAGTAACAAAATTTTAAAACTTTTTAAATAAAAACGCTTCTAAAAAAAGGCAAGGAAAAAGAGACATCATTTTGAATAATTAAGCTTATAGACATTACAGCATAAATTAAGATTTAATATTTATACATTCTCATTTTGGATTTATTTTATTTTTTAGATATAAAATGTTACTGAAATTCAATTCACTTGTTACCTCTTTGGGTTACACTTTCACAAATTTGCATTGCATTATAAACAGTGACTATTTTTTATTACAGCAAAACAATGAAAAATTCACACTTACGGCTGACATTAAAATTTCACTGCCATTATTATTAATGAGTCTGAGTAGCAAAAGCATATTAAACGATTACATAATACTTCTGAAAATCATACCTGGTATTCATTTTCCGCAGCTTCAACAATCTTTATAAATTCTTTTGCTGTTTGCACCTCATTCTTGAAAAAAAATAAAAAACCAAAGCAAACAGTTATTATTTAGATAAAACTAAACCACTATTATTTACAAATACATATATCAAAATATGGAGTCCTGGTGTGGTGCTGTGGGTTAATGCATTGGACTGCAAAGCTGGTTTGAATTGCAAGGTCAGTGGTTTAAGCTCACCAGCTGCTCTTTGGAAACCCTATATAGGGTCGCTATGGGTCACGATGGCACTTAACAGCATCAAAATATGTATAGTTAACAAAATGTTTTAATTTAATAGAGAACAGATGGAAAGAGTAGCAAATAAAGAAAAAATAGTGTAAGATCAATTACTCAAATCAAGGAGAACGAGGCAAACTATTTTTAAAATCTAGAGAATGAGCCTGATTTTCAATGCTTAACTAGTTTTCAGAAAGTGAAATATTAATAATAACACCGACATGGAAAATTAAATGATAGCATTCTAATAGACAATCTTTACAAGTAAGAAGTTAGATGTAGATTTCTAAATAACCACGATCTGTTGTTGTTAAGTGTCATGAAGTCGGTTCCGACTCAGCGATCATGTAAAGTAAACCTAGGTAGTAAGTATTACTGGACAATATTTACCACACTAGTGATACAATATAGGAAGATCTCAGGGCCAGTTCTACTCAGTACCATAGTGTGGCTATGAGTTGGAATCAACTTAATGGCAAAAAATAACAACAGAGCAGCTAAAAAATGTTAGGTGCAGATTTCCAATTACTTGCCATCTTAATATCTGAAAACACTTTAATCTGAAGCTGTCTTTTTTTTCAGAATTAAAATATTATATTCTAAAACTGCTCTTTGGTTTTATAGAAATACTAGACTAATGTTCACAATACTGGACATTTTTCTTTGGAATTCAGTAAGTACTTACAGACACTGTCAGGGAATCTTGTATGTCTTTATGACTCACTAGTTGAACATTACCATCTTCATAGTAATGAACCTGAAAGAAATGACAGGAATCACGTTACAGGCGTCTCAAGATCCTCAGGGCTTCAACAATCATTTCAGTTTCAGCTCTAGTTTAGACTTACTTGTCTGCTACGCTCCAGACCCTTCTAACCACTCTTCCTACCTTCAGTCTAGCAACAGACTAGTTAGGAATTCCTGCAGTTTATTCAGGCAAGTCATGAACTGACCAGACAGTTCACAGGTAGCTGAACTCAAGATGTTGGTTCAAAACCGAATTCCCAATATTCCCTTCCAAACTCTGCTCCTGTTTTTGTGTATTTCCACCAATCATTTAATTCTACAAATTCAACGACATTCAACGTTATTCAATAAATATTGAGTGATCACTATAAATACCTGCTAGTACAGAAGGTTCCAGGAATACATAGGTGATACATAGCCTTGTCTTTTTATTTCATCACAATCTCCTAAGAAGTATGTATAAAGTACATGAATACTACTCTAGATTCTGAGGGTTGAAAAAATAGTTCAGAAAACAGACAACACCAGAGTTAAACTGAGCAAAATAAGGACAAAAATCAAACCAAGGAAGACAGGGCATATTAAAGATTAGGGGAGAATATATTCTAGAAAGGACTGGAGTCACTTATAGCTGAAATGTGTAAGAGATGGTGATGGTGGTGGAGGTGGAGGAGGGGGGAACAGCTGGAGAAACAGACAGGTAGTTGTTGTTGTGAAGTGCTGTCAAGTCGGTGAGTCAAATTTGGGTCTTGGATGCAAATGTGTCTGGACTATCTGGTAGGTTAACTCTGATACCGTTAAATGGTCTTAAATAAGTTAAATGACCAAAAAAACCAACAACTTTCTAATGGCAATGTGAAAAATGGATTAGGGGATTAAAGTTTCCAGCAATTCAACAAAATAATTAACAGTGATATGCTAGAGACCATGCTAAGTGTAAGTACTAGAGATAAACTATGAACCAGATAATTCTTGTTTCCAACAGGAATGCCGTTTTAGAAACTGCTGTAATCCACTAGATATTTATTTATTTAATTATTAGTATTTTAACCAGCAAGGAAATAAAGAGAGGCTAAGTTAAATAACGTCCTGATGTTTCACAACTAGTAACTGAGAGAGGTAAGAGTCCAAACTCTGGCTAACTTCAAAATATTCTATGCTCTTAAACTTAATTCTGTACCTAAAAGAGAGTCACTAAGACATAAAATAAGACTTAAACTAAAAATGTGTGCAGGTTACAGAGCACATTTGCAAACTCTTGTCACGTAATGCATTTCCCAACAGCTGATCAATAAATGCACTGAATAATTAAGTGAACCAAGATAGAAAAAATAGTTTTTTTTTTAAAAACTTAGAAACACAAATATTTGGACACAGCTATCAAATGTCGTATTTTAAACACTGTGCTTACTTTAAATCAAATTCTAGCATATTTCATGTACAAGCCCAATATGAGCACAGAACATAAGATATGTAATATATATGTTAGTATACACATATGTAAAAAATGCGTATTTGTACATCTACACACATTAATATCGAACAGCATAATACAAACTCAGAAGATGCTTGGATGAATAACTCTATGAAGAGCAGACCAAATGGCAACACATTTTAGCTATGTTTTTACAATCTGTCTGCTATTCTTGCAGATTTTTTTTTATTATTCCAAGGTTATTTAAAAGATGAAATTACGATTACTTATTTTTCCCACTTCCTCAAACAAAAGGAGCTCTGGTAGTGTAGTGGTTATGAATTGGGCTGCTAACCTTAAGGACAGCAGTTCGAAAATACCAGCTGTTACGCTAGAGAAAAGATGAGGCTTTCTGCTCCCTCAGAAACCCTGTATATGGTCGCTATGAGTTGGAACCGACTCCATGGCACACCACCACCACTGTAAGCAAACAAGGTCTGGATAAGAAATGGCTATGCTATCCTATGAAAATCTCAGCTTGTGAATTATTTCTATGTTCAGGATCATCTAGAGACATAAACAAATGCTTTATCTCATACCTGAATTTTCAAGATGCCAACCACTTGAGTGGTTGAAGGAGTGATTGTAAACTTCCACTCGGACCTCCAACGACCATTCCTTAAAAATAAAAACAGCAGCTGTAAATAAGGTAGGGAAAATAATTTGAATAAATTTTAAGCTTCAGATTTAAATTTAATGCTACAGTACAAGAAGTGTGGGCATGGATGCTAAGCATTAGTTTTTAATCCTGAAATATTCAAAGGTGTCAAAGGTGAAGTTAAAATTATAAATTATTTAATTTTCACCCTACTGTTAAAAAAAAAAAAAAAAAAGACCTTAAATAGTGTGGTTGTTGTTGTTAAGTGTCATCGAGTCAATTCTTCAAAATTCTAAAGTCAATGCTTAAAATACAGTTAAAAGATAAATCATATAAACTGTGTTTAGGAGAAAAAGTTTGTCACTTTTTCACTTGTTCTTTGTTGTTAAGTGTCGACAAGTTGATTCTGACTTATAGCGACCTTGTACAGGGGTTAAATGTCCAGATCAAGTCTTCAAACCTGCTCATTTTGGTGCAGTCATGTTGGGCTAATGTCACCAGAATGGACCTGAATTTTCAAAATGTGGGACAACTAGAATGCTAAGAGGAAGGGAAAGCATTAAGGGCCAAAACCCTGCTGAAGCATAAGCTTTGAAAACAACTGCATTATGCATAGTGCATAGCACCCAAATGTCTTCACCACTGAGAAGAAGATTCCAAGATGGGGACTGACCACACCACCCTGAATGTGTGCTGCCCTCCACAGTTCTGCCAATTATCAATCCAATGTCACGCACACATCAGGCTCCTGAAAGGGCTCACAACACCTCTTCCAAATCTCCATTCCAGAGTTCTGGCCCGTAATTTTTCTTGTCCCAGATCACCCATATTTTAAAAAACTCGAGTCTGCTCTGGTTTAAACTAATTAGAAGTCCTGGCTCAGATTATCAGTGCAGTTTCATTTCCATTGAATGGCACACAAACAACCAAAAATTTTAAAAGAATGACTAATGGTATGTAACAACAGTCTTTAGGAACTTTTGATTCCTAGAAGCAGAAGAGCAACTAAAATATTACGTATAGATATTGTTGTTAAGTACCGTGTAGTTGGTTCTGACTCATAGTAACCCTGCACAGGGTTTTTGAGACTGTAAATCTTTATGGGAGCAGAAAGCCTTATCTTTCTCCTGCGGAACAGCTGGTAGTTTAGAACCGCTGACCTTGAGGTTAGCAGCCCGATTTGTAAACACTACACTACCAGAGGCTTACCAGTCAGAAAGAGATTGGAGGAACCTGACACTACAGTCCTCAACCACCCTTCAAGTCTGGAAAGGAATTCCACCTAGTGGCCCAATTTTCAGCCAAGAGATCCACAGACATATAGGGGGGATAACAGCACTAGTAATGTCTGCTCACCATGGAATGGTCAATCATTCAAGATCAAAAGGGCAACTTTTACCTAAGAACAACGTTGAGAAGGGACAGGAGGTTGGGTGGAATGGAAATAGGAATCATAGGGAAGAAGCAAGATAACTGCTGTTACATGGAGGGGATTACAATCATCGAGATGACACAAGTGTATGATTTGTTGAATGTACTTGTAAAACTAATAAGCCTGTCTGTAAACTTAATTCACAATGCAAAGTTTACAATAAAAAAGAAATAGAAGAGCTACAAAGAACTATGAATATCATATGTCATTCCCTTTTCCAGTTTTAGGTTGTCAGTTTCCCATTAAAGACACAGCACTTTTCCAACCCCAAATGATTTCTGTAATAAGAACACGTCCAGGTTAGGAAATTGAGAAACTATAAATAAGCAGTTGTTAGGTTTTTCTTCTTTTTCTTGTTGTTTTCTAGACAGTAAATTATATCCCTTTTATTCGATAGACTTTTGATAGCACCTCCTTTTCTTTTTGCCTCTAGCTGTTGTCTGCATACTAAAAACATATTCTAATATATGTTAATATCTGCTAGATTTTGAGAGTGTTTATGTTTCTAAAACAGCCTCAAGGCTAAATGGATCATTGTATTTATTTTTGTTATAAAATTAAATCTAGATTATCTTCAATATTCTTATAGACTACCCAATAATTAAATTCTTGTGTGGTCATAGGATCAACACTGGACTGCTAAGCTCAAGATCGGCAGTTCAAACCCAGCAGTTACTCCTTGGAAACCCTATGCAGGGTTGCTATGAGTTAGAATTGACATCACAACAACATCACAGATTCAGTATCTAAAATTCATAAAATATTTCTAAACTTACCAACAACAAAACAAACAACCCAACAAAAAAATTGGGCAAAGAACTTGAATGGACATCACCAAAGTGGATAGTCAAATGCCAACCAGAAGATGGAAAACCGCTCAAAGTTACTAGCTACTGTTGTTGTTGTTACGTGCTGTGGAGTCGGTTCCGACTCATAGCGACCCTGTACAGGATTTCTGAGGCTGTAAATCTTTACTAGCTATTAGGGAAATGCGAATCAAAACCACAATGAGATACCATCTCATCTACAGAAGAATGGCAAAGCTAATAAAAATGGAAAACACTAGGGATTGGTGTGACTGGAGAAACAGGAGTTTTCATCCATTATTGATAGGAACAGACAATTCTGTAGCCAATGTAGGAAACCAGTTTGGCAGTTCCTCACAAACTTAAGCACAGAATTACCATTATGGCCCAGATATTCCATTTCTATTCACAGATCTAAATGATCTAAAAGCAGTAACAAAGAAAGACATATGTATACCAATGTTCGCCACATTACTATTCACAATATCCAAAAGGTGAAAACAAACTCTCCATCCACTGATGAATGGGTAAGGAAAAATATACTCTGTATGCTGCAGGTTAATGCACTGTACTTCAAGTTGGGGTTGAACAGCAAAGTTGGTGGTTCAAACTCACCAGCTGCTCCTTGGCAACCCAATATAGGGTCGCTATGAGTAGGAATTGACTCAACAGTACTTAACAACAACATACATACTATGGAGCATTTTACTCAGCCATAAAAGAAGAATGAAGTCCTGATGCAGGCTGCAACAAGATAAACCTTGAGAGCACTATAAGGGGCCTAGGTAGTACAGTGGGTTAAGCACTGTGCTGCCAATGTAAAAGCAGATCAAACCCAGCAGCTGCGACATGGGGAAAACAATGAGATAATCTACTTCCTTAAAGATTAATAGTCTTGAAGACTATAGGCCCATGAATTGAGTAAGGCTGTGTGCCTGTGGGAAGGAGATGGCTGTCAGAATATGCCTTTAGGACATTTAAAGGAATATATATTTTTTGTTTTATATGCATACATCAAATATTTTTGCTTTGTTCATTTGTGAAATAAATGATATAAATAAGATATAAAAGGGAAGCCACAGGGTGGAAGCAGGATAACTGTTGTTTGCAGGGAGGGGTGCGTAATCACAGAGATGAAACACAACATATGATTGAAAGTAAGGCTGATGATCTTGTTGGCTTATATTCACTTAATTGGCAATAAAAAGTTAAAAAAAAAAAAAAAAAAGATGAATAGCCTTGGAAACCCTGTGAAGCAGCTCTACTCAGTCCTCCTGGGTTGGGATCAACTTGCTAGTAATGGTTTTGGGGAGGACATGCTGAGTGAAAGAGTATGACATCAGTTATATGAAATAAGCAAATAAGCTGTTGTTAAGTGCTACTGAGTTGGTTCCAACTCATAGCTATCCTGTATAGGAATGGATCTGAACCACTGACCTTGTGGTTAGCAGTCCAGTTTTATCCTATAGCACACTGGAATCTAAATATGAGAGGACTTCACAAAGTTCATGGAAAAACAGAATGTAAAGATAATAAAAACTTCCATCAACTTTCTGAAAACCCCTCGTGTACAGAAACCAAAAGTATTGAATGGTAACCAGGGGAAGATGGGACAATTATATGGTCTAATGACAAATCAAAGAGGAATGGCATTACATTCACCATCAAAAAGAACATTTCAAGATTTATCCTGAAGTACGACGCAGCGCTATCAGAGATAGGGGTAACACTCATGTGCCTACAAGGAAAATCAGTTAATAACACCTACTATTCAAAGTTACATAAAAACCAGTAATGCCAAAAATGAAAAAATTGAAGATTAAAATAAAATCAATTTCTGCAATCTGAAATCAATCAAACATATAATTAAGATGCACTGATAATTACTGGAGATTGGAAAGTGAGAGTTGGAAATGAATGAGGAAGATCAGTAATTGGAAAATCAGAGATATGATGCAGAGATCACATGAAAGAATTTTATAAGTCCAACAACTTCTTCATTGCGAATACCTTTTTAAACAACATAAAAAGTTGATGACAAAGACATACATGAAGCAAAAACAAAAAACAAAAAACAAAAAACCCCAAACCAAAAACTATGAAAGAGACACAGTGCCACCCCAGGACTCCAGGTCTCTTATCATGACAGTAAAAGCTGTTGAGCAGCTAGTACACTTTTATTAATGGAGTAAATAGTAACATAGTAAACAGGTCCTAGCCTTTAAAAAAATTATATTCTGACCCTCTCTTTTAATAACCCAACAATTATAATAAAAATATACTCATTCAAAAACACTTAAGACACTGGGGAAACAGTAGACACTAGAAACACAAGGTTTCAAATGAAATCCAAGAAGCATTAAGACTAGTGTCTTCTGATTTTACAGTACTTATACTATAAAAGCCCTGGTGTGGCACTGTGGGTTAATGCGCCAGACTGCAAAGCAATTTGAACTGCAAGATCAGCGGTTCAAGCTCACTAGCCATTCCTCGGGAACCCTATACAGGGACGCTATGGTCAAGTCAACTCCACGGCACATAACAACAACAACAATAGATATTAAAGTATAATGGAATGACAACAATTTTCCTTGAAAAGTTGTTCAATCTCAACAAGATTGATAATATAAATCTCCTGGCACAAGTAGCATAAAAATAAATAAAAAATGATTTTGTGAAGATTCTTTATTTTAGGATTCTGACAGATTTATGTTACAGGATTTTAGGTCTAAAATATTGAAACCATATTTATATAGAACTGGAGTTCTGGTATGGTACTGTAGAATAAGCACTGGACTGCTACCCACTAGAGTTTGGTAGTTCAAACCCACCAATCACTCCTCAGAAACTGTATACAGAGTTGCTATGAGTCAGCACTGTCTGGACAACACATAACAACAACATATTTATATTAATTTCACAAAAGTAACTGTATACCAGGAGCTTTATTTAGGAGACTATAGCTTTTCTTAAGGCATATTCTACATATGGAACCAATTTTCCTTCAGTGAGGATATGCCTTGTAACCGTGCATTTATTTCTGAAATTGTTAAGTTATTAGAGCAACCTGGACCCTGGAAGTTAGTGATACCGTTACTTTACCCACAAGAGCACTACCACTCAACTTGGCTAATGAGTCAAAGACTAATATAGTTTGAAAGTAATTAGTATGATCATAGTTTGCTGTGTCTCAACATGTATTAACATGAAAGGTAGGGAAAGGAGTCATTCAATTCTGCACTTGTAAAGTCTTGAAAAATACTCCAGATTTTTATAATAGGAGTTATCTCAGACATAGTCTTGTTTAAGAACAAAAGGGCCAACAATTTGTCAAGATTAATAGGTGCTTTGGGGGTAGATTTTCATAAGGAATAATGATCATTTTTACAAGGAATATCAAATTGATGACATTAATTTGCCTCACTGTATAAAACATGACACTATTTTCTCACACTGGCTAACCAAGCACAAAGCAATCTCCGTAAAAGAATCTACTTCAAAGCCCTCCAAAGTAGTTTACAAAAGAACAATTGCTTTCTACTTTATAACTGACCTGTATCACAACCCCACCCCCTCAATATAAATTTAATTCAGGAACAAACCCTTTATAGTATTAGCATATGGGCTTGCTAATTACTGGTATGCTTCCAGGCACACAAGCTCCCTTAGGATGCTACTTGCTGATCTCTGTAAGCACTCCCTATGTTCTCCCACACTTGGTCAATGGATTTAATGCTACCTAACATGGATAAGAAGGAAAAGATCAAGGTGGATGTCAGAAGAGACTCTGAAACTTGCTCTCCAACGTAGAGAAGCCAAAGCAAATGGAAAAATTGAAGAGGTGCAAGAGCTGAACAGGAAATTTCAA